CGTCGAAAGGTACCGCGGGACACAGCCTCGGCACAAAACGGCGCGCACTATAATTATGGGTCGGCAAAAACAGGCTCGGAGGTACTGGTGGTTTAAAAAAATATATATATGTATATATATAGTTTGACAAAACAACAACAACAACAACAACTACTAACAAATCTCTAATGTAACCAATCTCAAATCGGTGCCGTCCACAGTCCAACCAGGCCACGGTTGTGAGGAATATCTAATCCAGGCCGTCGCTTCTCAAGGAGTCGACGGCCTGGTTCTTCACAAGACCGCAAGGCAATCCAGGCCGTCGGCTACCGGTAGTACTGGGCCAACGGCCCCGATGATGCACATACAATAGGGCTACCGTACCGGTAGGTCCTACAGCCGAGTGTGCGTGTGCTCGGGGCGGTGTATGCTTGGGTGCGGTTATGTGCGGTCGTGCGTGCGTCTGCGTGCGCGTGGGTGTGACCGTGGGTGTGTGGGTGCGTGGGCGGAGTGCTGTGTTTGCCGCACAAATACACACACACAGCGAAAACATCGCGGGGAGTATGAGTAATGTCCTGCTCTAGATTGATGCCAGAAGCCGCCAAGAGTTGAATGTTCTGTTTTCCGTCGAAAGAGCGGTGAACAGCTCCGCGCGAAACAGGTAAGCAGCGCTCTTATCCTTTCTCCTCCTCCTCCTCCTCCTCCTCCTCCTCTTCTCTCGTTTGCTCAAGGCTCGGCCATCTTCATCTCTCGCCATCCTGTCGCGATACCCGTCCTCTACCTGCTTTACCCATCTCTCTTCCCCAAGGCGTCCTAAGCTCTAAGCTCGGCCATCTTCAGGTCCCGTCGGTGCGAGGAGCGGTGAACAGCTCCACTCGAAAGAGGTAAGCGCCGACCTTGTCCTTTTTCTGCCCCTCCTCCTCCTCCTCCTCCTCCTCCCTCTTTTGCACTCGACGCCCCATCCTGTCGACATCCTGTCGCAATGTCCGTCTGCTGGAAAACAATGAGCAGCGTGCTGCTCTAGACTGATGTTGAAAGCCGCCAATTGTCGAACCTTCTTTTTGTGGTCGAAGGAGCGGTGAACAGCTCCGCGAAAAGAGGTAGGCCGCGATGTTATGCTTTCTTTCTCCTCCTCCTCAGCTCCTCCTCTTCTTCCCTCTTTTCCCCTTGACTCTCCATCTTTCGACACCCTGTCGCAATATCTGTCTGCACCTGCTTTACCCATCTCCATCTCTCTTCCCCATGGCGGCCTAGGCGCCGGCTTCTTCAGCTCCCTTCATTGCGAGGAGCGGTGAACAGCTCCGCGCGAACGAGGTAAGCCACGATCTCATCCGTTCTCCTCCTCCTCTCCCTCCTTGCCCATCTCTCTTTCCCATCTCTCTTCCCCATGGCGACAGAAGCTCTGGCTTCTTCAGATCCCGTCATTGTGGACTCCCCCCCCCTCTCTCCTCTCTGCTTGCATGCCATTTCTTCCGACCTCTCTCGATAGCATCATTGGTGCCGTCCGCACGGCCAGCTTATGCCAAGTTTTGATGATTTGTGTTTGTCACACACGCGCACACACACACACACGCAGACAGACGCACACACACACACACACACACACACACACACACA